CGCCTCCGATCCTGTTGGGTGTTGGGCTGTTGGCCTGGGCGTTGGCGGAGTGGCACTCCAGCCTGCAAGCCATGGCTCACGAGCACGGCGGGCTGGCCATGGCGAGCTCGCTTGAGCTTGCTCTTGTGCTTTGCCTCGGTGATTCGATCGATCACATGCATGTACGCCAAACCATGTGCGGGATGATAAATTCATGAGGTTCGGCTGGTGTTTGAATCTTGATCGAGCTGAGGAGCCGGACGAGGTGAGGCATGGTTGATCGACCTGTGCATCGGTCAGGCCAGGGTGGATTCCCCCTCTTCTGAACTCCATTACGTCCAGTGTTGCACTGACAGTGGTTGTGGTGAACACTGTGTAGAAGAGGATTCAAATTCAAACACAACGAGCTAGCTAGTTCAAAAACCACGGTTAGTCAGTGATGATGCTCTAGTGTAGTCTAGTCAGAGATGCTTCCATATGAAATTGCAGCACTTGTGCATAATGAGCTATCAGACATGGCCATAGACTTGTTCAGAGAGCTAAAGATTAGTTTTGTGTGATATTAATTTGTTTTATGATATTAAATTCTGTTTATATGAATGCTAGTTGAAATGCTGTTGATTTTTTTTCTAAAAATTCTGTATAAAAAATGTCAACTTGCTGATATGAAAATAGGGATAAAAACACAAATACCAAAATAAAACAGGGGTAAAAACGCATGGTTAAAGTTATCCTTTTGTCTAAAAGTTAGCATCCTTAGAGGGACTTCACAGACTAGGGATAAAGTCCCCCTTCTTTTGAATCGTAGGGGTAAAATCACAAAGTTAAAAGAAAATGAGGGCAAAATCACCACTTCACTTCAAAACAGGAGTAAAAATGCTTAAGCCCCAAACTATTTTTCCAAACGGTCTAAAAAAGTATTTCCGCTCTCCAAATGAATCTGCTCCATAGGCTGGAGCTCTGACAAACAGACCTTTAACCTATATAATGTTCATACTAACGCTTGCCTTAACGTGATACATATTTTCCTAGAAAATTAATACTATTCTGTTCCTATCTCTACATTAGATATACTCTTAACCATTCATTATTTTGGTTCTAGCTTCCGGCTCATTAAAACAAGGAGACAAAAAGACCAATAGCCTGTTCGGCTGGTCTATAAGCCGCTTGTGCTGGTTTGTATGGCTGATTTGTTGTGAGAGAAAAATACTGTATCATGACTAATAAGTTCCAGCTGAAACGAACAAGCGAACAGGCTGCAACTCAAGCTTGCCTGACGTCTTGCTAGAGAAGATCAAGGCAGCAAGCTCTTAATTTGCTAAGCATGGAACACGAGCAACAAAATTATACTCCCTTCGTATTGGTAATTCAATTCGTGCTTGCCTCTATGTATAATAACTGAAAAACAGAAAAAGATAATTGTATCCAAGTTGCTGAAAAACGACGACGTTTTTTTAGGGCCTGTTTAGTTCCCCTCCAAAACGCCATTTTTTTTAAGATTCTCCGTCACATCGAATCTTTGAACGCATACATGAAGCATTAAATATAAATAAAAAATAAAACTAATTACACAGTTTAGACGAAATCCACGAGACGAATCTTTTAAGCCTAATTAGACTATGATTAGACACTAATTATCAAATAATAACGAAATACAGTATCGTTTTGCCAAAATTTTCGGCAACTAAACTGGGCCTTAGAACATGAAAAACGGCGAAAAACGACGACGTGGAATGGTCTTAGACCAGTGGAGGAATCGTCGATTAGTCACGTCCATAAAGCGGGTTGTCTAGGCTTGCCGCTTGCCCTTGGCCCTTGTGTCTTGCGTAGCTATTGGAAGGCTGGCTGCTGGGCGGTTGCCTTGCCATCGAGGCTACCGAGGTCTAAAAAGTTGCAGGGTACGAGAGGTGGCCGCCGCGTCATCGGGGTCAGCTGACCCCGACAGCATAGCATATAGCTTGCCCTGCAAGTCTTTAGGTTTCAGCTTCTTAGAAGCTTTTGATCATAGCTTTGGGACCTTCTAAAAATAAAATAAAAAACTCTCTGAAACAAAAGCTCAAAAGTTCACTTTGAGGAGCTTCTGGGTTTTGGCTTCCGAGATTTTTTCTTTTCTTTTGTAAGGTCCCAAAGCTAAGGTCTAAAAGCTTTCAGGAAGCCCAAATAAACAGGCCCTTACACTACAACGTACAACATGCTCTATATATATGGAGTCAAAAAAATTAAACTAGCAGAGGCCGGTGGGATAAGTCTTGAGCAAAATATACGTCTTTTGGGCATAGTATCTATATACTTATCTTCTTTTAAATGGAATTTCTGGGGCAGCACAATTTGGCAGAGGTTGGTGGGGATGATTTGGAGTTGATCAAGGATGAAGAAGTCAAGTGAACGCTAATGATGAGAAAAAAGGAGGACGAGGTAACGTGGCATATGAAATTATTTTTCATAAACACGTGTTTGTCACACGTGCACTTGTACTAGTGTTACAAACAAATCACGTTTGATTTTTTTTTTACAAAACAAACATATTAGAGGAAAGAAACTTTAGATGTTATCCACATGTCAAATAGTTAAGTCGTTTGATCACACATGTATATTAGATCCAATAAATCATTTTTTCCTATGTCTTCTATTACCTTCTGGTAGGTAATGTGCTAATCGACATCACAGTTGTTTGGGAGTACCGTTGCAAAGCCCTATTACAACCATACTAGCTAAGATCAGTCCATCACAACATATGGTTAGCAATGAACACCTAATTACATGAACACCTACTTAGACAGGATCTTAATTAACCCAATTACATGAACACCTAATCACTGATTAGCAATTAATCGTCAGCATCAGAATGGCGCCTACCGCGCAGCCAGCTCCCACACCGCAGCGGCAGCTTCGTCCGCCTCTCACACCACCAACGATAAAGCTCCGACGAAGAAACTACCACCCAAGTGGCTCATGGCTCTCATACCTGCCCTGGCAGCGTCGCTTGGTGTTGGTGGTCTCGTCACCTTGATAAGTTGTAACAGCGGGCACTGCAAGCACGGAGCAGCCGCGCGCGACGTCTCACCGGGAGACTCCATCACACGATCGACGGCGCTTCGTGTAAATGAACTAATTAAAGACAGCATAGGCAGCACTCGTTGTTGCTGCAGAACTGGTTGTTGTTGCGGCATTCGCATATTGCCTTGCATATCTTGTAGGTGACGAAACCACCAAGCATGGTTGCCAGGGAAGATAGGAGAGCGATGAGCCACTTGGGTGTCGCCGTCGGAGCATTGTTGGTGTCATCAGGAAGAAGAAGCCACTCCGGTGTCGGAGGTCCGGTGGTAGGCGACGTGCTGCTGCTGCTGCTGTCTAGGTCGTTGGTGGAGATGGAGGGGGTCACCGACACCGTGGCCGCGCCCGCGCCCAGAGGAGGAAGCGATGAGGAGCTGTCGTTCATGGCCGCCGCCGCCGTCGTTGGTGCTACGACAAATCAATATATATAATCAAATAAAGCACAACAGGTTCAGTAAGTATAACACGTACGCAAAAACGGATCGGATCGATATTCATGCATGCATGTGCATGCATAGAGTAGAGGATAGCCGGCCAACCTGCAGCAACAGAGGACACGAGAGATGACGGCGCGAGGTAGCGGCAGCAGATCAGCAAGAGGAAGACCGTTATCATCTTGATGGAATCAGCCAGCTGTAACAGAGTTGAATCCCTTATCATCGTCTCAACTTATGCCTGCTTGCCCCTTGTTATATAGGCGCTGGAGGATGACATGTACGGCAGCTTCGTCCTCCACCGCCTCTCCCACCAGCGTCGTCGGTCAGATCATTCTTCGATCTAAGTACGGAATCAAGAACCTCACACCTTTGAATCACCTTTTTTTTTTTTGGATAAAGGGAAGTTTATTTCATTAAGCAAATGAAAAATATCTCGGTCTGAACTGAACGTGGCCGGTGAGATGCGTGTACATACATACAGTTACATGGAGGGCGTTGAGCTCTGGCAGACGGCCGGTGGCGTCGCCAGGCCGCAGCTACACCATATATCGCTCCGGAATCTGGTTCTTGTGTCTGATATAGATGACAACAACCTATATATCTATATTCGTTCCTTGTCCAGCAAGCAGAGGAGCCGGCCTGATCCATCCTGCAGCGGCACCAAACCATCGTACGCCTGCGTTGAAGCCCTGTGGACGCACAACGCTAGCTGCTGGGCGACCGCCGCCGCCGGCAGTGTCAACGTCGTGCCGGACGTACGGAGCGGCGGCGGCAGGCACGTAATTAACGACGTAAACCTGCGAACGCAGGAGACACGGGTCAAAACGGATGGTGGTGACTGGTGAGGTGAGACCCGCGTGCTGACGTGGAAGTCCACGCTAGCACCCCCACCCCACTGGCAGTGCCAAAATTAGTAAAACGTCACCACCAACACCAACCTATATGCAGTGCACGAGATTGCATGACGTCCACCCGTTTACTCGCGCCCACGGAAGAAAATACTGACCACAGGAAACTCTTGATCAAAAAAATAAAAGAAAAACAATCCAGATGGAGTAAGAAGAGGGAGCTGCAGAGCCTGGAGTATCGCTACTGTTTCCGATAATTAGCCTTCACCCTTTTCTTTCATATAAATAGAAACAGGTAAGATTTTCACTTTATTTATTTTGCTGATTAAGTGATCGTTTTTCATCAATTATCATCCCAACAATTGTTTATGTACTCCTACTTTGTTACCAGCTAGGGAATGAAAAAGGAGAGCACATTTCTTTATGGCCACTAGTTGAAATCACCACCTATCTAGCTAGCGCTCCTTTGCATGCATTCTCTTCCACTCGATCGTCCCGTCCGTCCGGCCGGTGGTGTACGCGTGTCATCGTCCAAGGCACCGGCCAGCTAGCTGGGGAATCGATCGATCCATCGATCCGTTGCATTGCCCGCCACCGCCACCATTGTCGACGTCGTAGCAGCGGCTAGCAGGAGCTAGCGCTACGACTATACGAAGGAGACCGATCATATCGGTAATTAATAATGGAGGGGTCGGAGGCGGCGGCGCGCGAGGCGCTGTCGACGGAGAAGGCGTTCGAGGGGGAGCGACTGCCGGCGTGGTCGGAGCAGATCACGGTGCGTTCCGTGGTGGTGAGCTCGGCGCTGGGCCTGTTCCTGAGCTTCATCGTGATGAAACTCAACCTCACCTCCGGGATCGTGCCGTCGCTCAACATGTCGGCGGGGCTCCTCGCCTTCTTCCTCATGAAGACGTGGACGTCCGCGCTGGAGCGCTGCGGCGTGTTCCCGAAACCCTTCACCCGGCAGGAGAACACGGTGGTGCAGACCTGCGTCATCTCCTGCTCCAGCATCGCCTTCTCCGGTGGGTGAGGTTTTGGTTGCATTGGTTTCAATTTCAATTGCATCAATTTTCAAATCAATCAAATGATTCATCCATCCAATCTTCTTTTCAATTAGGTGGGTTCGGCACCTACATCCTCGGCATGAGCAAGAAGATCGCCGAGGGGTTCGACGAGGCCAAGACGAGCATCAACGTCGAGGAGCCTTCCCTCGGTCGGATCATCGCCTTCCTCTTCCTCGTCAGCTTCGTCGGCCTCTTCTCCATCGTCCCGCTCCGCAAGATCATGATCATCAGCTACAAGCTGACGTACCCGAGCGGGTCGGCGACCGCGCACCTCATCAACAGCTTCCACACGCCGCAGGGCGCCATCCAGGCGAAACAGCAGGTGTCCATCCTCTTCAAGTCCTTCGCGGGGAGCTTCCTCTGGTCGCTCTTCCAGTGGTTCTACTCGGCGGGGCCCGGCTGCGGGTTCAGCTCCTTCCCGACCTTCGGCATGGAAGCCTACCGCCGCCGCTTCTTCTTCGATTTCTCGGCGACCTACGTCGGCGTCGGCATGATCTGCCCTTACATCATCAACTTCTCGCTGCTGCTCGGATCCGTCGTGTCGTGGGGCCTCATGTGGCCGTACATTGAGAGCAAGCGCGGGCTCTGGTACGACGCAGAGCTGCCGAGGAGTAGCCTCCATGGGCTGAATGGGTACCAGATCTTCATCTCCATCGCCATGATCATCGGCGATGGGCTGTTCAATTTCCTCGCTATCCTCGTCCGCACCTCCTACGACATGTACCTCAAGCGCACCAGGCCTGCAGAGGCCGCCGCCAAGCCATTCGCCGGCGTCGACGTCACCGAGCGCCAGGCGCTCAGCTTCGACGACCGCCGCCGCACGCAGGTCGGTCGGTCATGTTGTTTGTTGGTCATGGGCACTCATCAGGCGGCGCGCGCAGGCGCGGCATTGGCAAATGACAATGCGTGCTCGACGATATGCGCAGTGCCTGACTGGTTGACCTGCTCGTTCGATATGGCAGGTGTTCCTCAAGGACCAGATCCCGACGTCCATCGCCGCGGGGGCGTACGTGCTTCTGGCAGCGATCTCGGTGGTGGCGATCCCACACATCTTCCGGCAGCTGCAGCCGAAGCACGTGGTGTGGGCGTACGTGGTGGCGCCGGTCTTCGCCTTCTGCAACGCCTACGGGACGGGGCTCACGGACTGGTCCCTCTCCAGCAGCTACGGCAAGCTAGCCATCTTCATCTTCGGCGCCAGCGTGGGCGCGGAAGACGGCGGCGTGGTGGCGGGGCTCGCGGCGTGCGGGCTGATGATGGGCATCGTCTCCACCGCCTCCGACCTCATCCAGGACTTCAAGACGGGGTACCTGACGCTGACCTCGCCGCGGTCCATGTTCGTGAGCCAGGTCATGGGCACCGGGCTCGGCTGCGTCATCAGCCCCGTCGTGTTCTGGATCTTCTACAAGGCGTACGACGTCGGGCTGGAAGAAGGGTACCCGGCGCCGTACGCCAAGATCTACCGGGGCATCGCGCTGCTGGGCGTGAACGGGTGGAACCAGCTGCCCAAGTACTGCCTCCGCTTCTGCCTCGCCTTCTTCCTTCTCGCCGTCGCCATCTGCGCGCTCAAGGAGGTGGCCAAGGCGCGGCGGTGGTGGGTGCAGGACTACATCCCGAGCGCGCTGGGCATGGCGGTGCCCTTCTTCCTCGGGTCGTTCTTCACCATCGACATGTGCGTGGGGAGCATCGTGCTGTACCTGTGGAGCAAGTCGGACCGGGTGAGGGCGCACATGTTCGCGCCCGCCGTCGCGTCGGGGCTCATCTGCGGCGACGGGATCTGGTCGCTGCCATCGTCCATCCTGTCGCTGCTCAACATCAACCCGCCCATGTGCCTCAGGGTCTTCTCCGCCGACACAAACTACCAGGTCGAGGAGTTCCTCTGGACGCTGAAAAACCCAGCCGCCACATAGCCTTCAGTCCTCCTGTTTCTTCTTCACTTCTTCTTCCTTTGCTTGCATGCTTTCACTGTTGCTCATTTCTCATAGATTTTCTTGTTCGTCACTTAGCCTTTAATGCATTTCTTGTACCTGCTGTACGTAGGGTCGTTTCAGACAGCATGCAATGTACGTACGTTCTGCTTCATTTTTTCTCTTGTTCGTCGACTTAATTGTAGAAGGTGGTGAATACCATGCTTTCGAGCCCCAGGTGGTGCTCTCCCTGGAAGTGAGGGACGTCATGCACCAGCCAGACTAGAATCTGGTCTCCTATTTCTATTTAAGCTTCCAAAATAAAGACTGAGGGTACCCAGCCTCTGCCCTCTATAATATAATACCATGCTTACAAAGTCAATTCTAGAGCTGTTCGCCGGGGCATGCTCATCAGCGAGGCCGATCGTCGAGCGGTGCTGACGCCGCTGCCTGGGAACGCGATCAAACACCGTGCCTCCGTATGCGCCGACGACCTCGTCGTCTTCCTTGCGCCCACACCGCAGGACTTCAGCTGCATCAGACAGATCCTGGAGCTGTTCGCCGGGGCATCAGGCCTATCCACCAACCTGGACAAATGCACAATCACCCCGATCCGCTGTTCTTCTGAAGAGATCCAGGCCGTTCAGGATGTATTCCCTTGCAGACTCCAGGACTTCCCAACCAAATACCTGGGGGCGCCTTTGTCGCTGTCCAGACTAAGCCACGCCGACGAACAGGTGCTTGTTGACGCGGTCGCCGCACGTATCCCGACATGGAAGGCCGGCCTTCTGACGAACGCGGGTAGAGCTACGCTGACGACGCAGACTACTCTCTCCGCCATCCTAGTACACGTCTCCATCTGCTGCAGCCTTTCGGCCTGGACTATTGGGGAGATCGACAAGAGAAGACGCGCCTTCCTCTAGGCGGGCACAGATTCAGTCGCCGGCGGGAAGTGCAAAGTCGCTTGGCCCATCGTCTGCTTGCCCAAGGACCACGGTGGTCTGGGGTTGCCGGACCTTAGGGTCCTCGGCTTTGCCCTGCGCCTACGTTAGGAGTGGTTGCGACGGACGCAGCCTGACGCCGTCTGGGCGCGCCTGCCTTCTAGGCCAGAACACTCGGTCGACCACATGTTCCGGGCCTCGGTCACCATTCAGGTGGGCGACGGCGCCTCCGCACGCTTCTAGACGGACTCCTGGCTGCCGAACGGTGCCATTTACAATTTTGCTCCCAACCTTTTCCAAGTAGTTGGGTGCCGCCGGCGCAAACGAGGCGCTCACAAATCGCCAATGGGCAAGAGATATCACCGGCGCTCCGACCAAGGTTTTTTTTATCGGCCGAAATTCACTGAAATTTCCGAAATTTCCTTTCTATCCACAGGGTCCGATAAAATTTGACATAGGCCAAATTTTTCCCTTCTTTACTGCTTCCACACAGACAACCCAAATTTAGCTGTGCGACAATCCCACACTATAATATTTTATTCTTGTTTTTATCTGTAAACAAGTGATGTTTAATAGCTTAGGAATAGTTTCAAGTCAAATTCTACGGAATTTTTTTAAAACAATTTGAATTTTTTTTGAATTTGGTCTGATATTTTCGATATATCTTGCTTATCCTATTTATCCATGACCTCCGATAAATTTTTATTTTCGATAATGAAAACCTTGGCTCCGACTGCTGCAGTCCTCTGTGAATACATCCACCTTTGGGACAAGGTCGAGACATTCCAGCTATTGCCGCATTCCTCAAACCGCTTCATCTGGAAGTGGACGGCGAACGGCAACTACACTGCCTCCTTGGCATACAGAGCTTTCTTCACTGGCATGACCTCGTTGATTGGCGCCAAGCACGTTTGGAGGGCCGCGGTGCCGCCAAAGGTTAAATTCTTCTTTTGGCTTGCTCTTCACGGTCGTCTGTGGACTGCCGAGCGCCGGAAACGCCATGGTCTTCAGCCGGAGGCAAACTGTGCGCTGTGCGATCAACACGACGAGACTACTGATCATCTACTGGCTTATTGCTCGTTCACGCGCGAGGTCTGGGTCCGGCTGCTTGCCAAGGCGGACCTGCAGCAGCTGGGGCAGAGCCATGATTCCACCATGGCCGACTGGTGGCTGCAGACTCGGGCTGCCGTCCCGGAAACCTTCAGGCGTGGCTTCGACTCCCTCGTCCTTCTCGTCTCCTGGGTCATCTGGAAAGAGTGCAACAGATGGACCTTCGACAACGACGCTAAGATGACGGTCCAGGTGCTTGCTCTAGTCCACGAGGAAGCTGACTCCTGCATCGCCGCCGGGTTTCAGAGCTTTGGCGTCGCTGCTAGCGGTAGCTAACTAGGGAGCATCGTTCCTTTTCCTGGTCGCAAAACTAGTTAGTCCCTTAGTACAACTGAATAGCTCCACCGTTAAAGCCAGTGATCGTTGTCAGTGTCCAACCCGTAGGCGAGCAGCGGCAACTCGCCGTCGCACGCCACCGGACTGTGTTCCAATTGTTAAGATATGTAACAATCTTGTAAACGTGACACGCAAGTATAACACGTCAATGAACGTGGTTGTGTGCACGTCAATCTTGTGTTCGGTTGAGATAGGATTAGTTTGTTAGATCCATATCTAGTTCAACCGAATTCCTTGTAATGCAAGTTTGTACATCTATATATATATATGCTAACACGTATCCGTGATGAGTCAAGATAGGCAATCACGTTTGCTATATTGCTTTTCATGGTAATCAAAGCCTACCTTCCATAAACCCTAGCAATGGCGTCATCCTCTTCCTCCAACCACTCCCACCATTCACCCTTCGGCCCAGCCATCTCTGAGAAGCTCACGAGGGAGAACTTCCTCCTATGGCAGGCACAAATCATGCCTGGTATTAGGGCAGCGCAATTTGAAGGTTACCTAGATGGAACCAACGCCGCCCCGGCCAAGACCATCGATCTGGTGAAGGATGATAAGACGAAGATCACCGCCAGCAATCCTGAGTATGAAAAGTGGTTCAAGGAGGACCAGCAACTCCTGTCCCACATCAACAACTCCCTGTCGAGGGAGGTTTTGGCGCAAGTGACGACCAAGACCACCTCGGCGGCTGTCTGGGCAGCACTCGGGGACATGTTCTCGGCGCAGTCCTAGGCACGGGTGACCAACTTGCGCATGCAGTTGGCCACCTCCAAGAAGGGCAGCCAGACCGCTGCTGCATACTACGCCAAGGTGAAGGCGATCGGTGATGAACTCGCCGCCGCCGGGAGGCCAGTACCAGATGAAGAGCTGGTGACATTCATCTTGGCTGGACTCGACTTCGACTACAATCCCCTCGTGTCGTCAGTCTTGGCACGTGCAACGCCTATATCCCTGAGCGATCTGTACGCTCAGCTACTCGCCTATGACACAAGGCTCCAGATGCTCCAGGAGAACTACAACGCTGGGCAGAACTCATCTGTCAACGCTGCTTCACGCGGGCGTGGGGGTTTCCGCGGCCGTGGTCGCGGTGGTGGTACTGGTCGTAGCCAAGGTGGGCGCGACAATGCCAACTCTCCTCTGCCTCCGAAGGGAGGTGCACCGGCGTCGTCCAAACCAATCTGCCAAGTGTGCAAGAAGAAAGGCCATGAGGCCGATGTGTGCTGGCACCGCTTTGAGGAGGACTTCCAGCCCTATACCAAGTCTGCTGGAGCTGCGACCACCAACTACGGCTACGACACCAATTGGTACGCCGATAGTGGGGTGACTGACCACATCACCGCCGAATTGGAGAAGCTGACGGTCAGGGACAAGTACAAGGGTGCTGATCAAGTCCACACTGCAAGCGGCTTAGGTATGCGGATTAGTAATATTGGCCATGCAATTCTACATACCCCAAATAAAAATCTCCATCTACAAAATGTCCTCCATGTTCCAAGTGCCAACAAAAATCTAGTATCAATTCATCGTCTTACTTCAGACAATAATACTTATGTTGAATTTCACCCTCACCATTTTTTCATCAAGGATCGAGCCACGAAGAAAACAATCCATCAAGGCAGGTGTGAGGGTGGTCTCTACCCTTTGAGGCCTCAAGAGGTTGGAGCACACCACCACAAGCAGGCGTGTGGTGTTAGTCGGCCATCCACATGGATATGGCATAGTCGTCTGGGTCATTCGTTGAGAGAGTTATTAGAAACAATTTGCTTCCAAGGTCTACTAGTCATCATGTTGAGTCGGTGTGTGACTCTTGTCAAAAGGCAAAGAGTCATCAATTTCCTTATTCTAGCTCAGAAAATAAAAGTTGTGCTCCCCTCGATTTGATACATTCTGATGTTTGGGGTCCTGCTCCCATATATGTTGGCAATTACACGTATTACGTTTCCTTTATCGATGGTTACAGTAGATATACGTGGATCTATCTCCTCAAACACAAGTCTAAAGTCTTTCATGTCTTCAAGAATTTTCAGAGTCATGTTGAGAGAAAATACACTAGAAAAATTATTCACATGCAAACCGATTGGGGAGGTGAGTATGATAGATTGAATTCCTTCTTTAATCAACTGGGAATCGCTCATAGAGTTTCTTGTCCTCATACTCATCAGTAGAATGGGAGAGCTGAGCGAAAACACCGACACATTGTAGAAGTAGGTCTTTCTCTCTTAGCCCAGGCATCAATGCCTCTCAAATTCTGGAATCAAGCTTTCCTTACAGCCACATACCTCATAAACATCCTGCCATCCAGAGTTCTTGATAATCAAACACCAGTTGAGCTCTTGTTGAAGGAGAAACCTCACTACAACTCTCTACGAGTCTTTGGGTGTGCGTGCTGGCCTAATTTGAGACCTTACAACACCAAGAAATTATCCTTCCGTTCCACAAGGTGTCTTCCTAGGCTACATCTCTCTTCACAAGGGCTTCAAGTGCCTTGACCCGACCACAGGTCATATCTACATATCGCGAGATGTAGTTTTTGATGAAGAGGTCTTTCCGTTTGCCTCCATGCATTCTAATGCCGGAGCTCGGCTAAGAAACGAAATCTCCCTCCTTCCTGTC